GCTCGAGCTAGCATTCCGTCGCTCGAGCAAGGCTTAGAACAAAACGATGGTCACTCGAGCGTGGAATCCTTCGCTCGAGCGAATAAGCCAAATTCTGGAATTTTCAGATTTGCCTTCAAAGCTCAAACCAAGTATTTAACACCTAAAAACTCAACCCCTTTGGGCCCATTTTTTGGAAAACGCTTTTAAACTCATAGTATAGCATGTTTTGAAGATTAATTTGTAAAATCAAAGCCCAAAGGTAAGTCAATTGAACATAATTTCAACAAAACTTTCATGAACATGATGTATATATGACATGCATGTGTTCTAATGAATTTAAAGCTTCTAATAAATGCTCCAAGGAGCCAATTCCCCCCAAAACATGGTGAACTCATGGACTATAACACAAATATGAACATGCATGTAGAAATTTCATGAAAAACAACCTCAAAATTCCATAATTTGGACATGCATGCATGCATGGCTTAAGCTCCAATTCAACAATTTAGACCAATTATTGACTATAATCTTCAATATATCATGAACCATGCAAGAATCTACTGAAATTCATGATCAATAAAGGAAATTCTCTACCTTAAGTCTTCAATTTCAAGTGCGGGAGTGTAGACACCCCATTTTTGACCGACCTTGAGACTCAGACGTCACCAGTTGAGCACTTGGTGATATTGCATAATGTGCCCGTTCAGAAGTTTCAGAGTCTTGGCTGAACAACCTCAAAATTCCATAATTTGGACATGCATACATGTATGGCTTTAGCTCCAATTCAACAATTTAGACCAATTATTGACTCTAATCTTCAATATATCGTGAACCATGCAAGAATCTACTGAAATTCATGATCAATAAGGGAAATTCTCTACCTTAAGTCTTCAATTTCAAGTGTGGGAGCCTAATATGCACTCACTCCTTCAATTCCTTCAAATTCCAAGCTAAATTCTTCTTAAGGAACTCAATTCCTCTCACTCTCCCTTCCTCACTCGGTTGGGCTCTCAAAATGGCTGAAGGAAACAATATGAAAGCTCCTAATCAAGTCCTAAACAATGATGTAGAGAAAGGCCACTCAATGGCATTTAGGTAAATAACCAACTAATGTGTTTTAACATTATTTAATTCAATTTAATCATACCAAATCAAATTTTAATTAAATTTACCATAAAATCGTATAAATTCCAACTAGCATAAAACACCAATCAATTTCGGATTCAGCCGCCGATAAGGCCTTCAATTTGCAATTTAAACATAAAACACGAACAAATCATTCGGTAACCAAACAGCTAGAAATGCATTTAATGCCACATACTCATGTAATCAGTTTAGAATTTCAGTTGAGTCAGTTAATTATCATGCTTAATTATACTCAGTCACAGTTTAGCATTAATCAGTGGTGAGTGTTTTCACAGTTGTTATGTAACAATAATGGGTTTTGGAAATATTTTTGACAAACATAGGGTTTGGGATGTAAAATCAAAAGAGATGTTTCTAGTGAATGTGATATAAATGGTCATGGAGTTTGAAAATGAGGTTATATTGTGTAAAAATTGTTGATTTTGGCATTTGGGTTGACATTTGAGAAAGAGGAAAGTTAACCTAAAATGGTTCAAATATTTATTTTGTATAAATAAATGAAATTGGTATTATAAATATGAAATTAGATGAATGTTGATGCAAATAATGGAGTTGGATATGCATTACCTCACATTTTTGAAAATTTGAATAAATTATCTGTTTTGAAATTGAATATCTATTTAAAAATATCTGTATTGGGCTATCGGCGGAGGATAGCTATGATTTTTATAGAAATTACATGAGAATTAGGTGAATTAAAACTAATCTCTTGTGGGTTGTCATTGAATATGATTATGTTTCAAATACATTGCATATGCATGATTGGTTGGGAGGAGAAATGGGATGTACTCCATGTTTAGGAGGAGATAGGAGATGGACTCCATTGAATTAAGTTGGCCTGTGTGCTTGTGTGTCCTGGGCAAAAGTCCTGAAACCGTGCGTATACATGGGTGCTGATTTCGCAGATGAAATTTCAGTAAAATGACAGATTGAAGTGTTTGTGTGATAATTGTGTTAATTTGGGAACCATTGAGTTGTAGTCTCAGATGGGTCGTTTGAAAGAATATGAAACTGGCTCATGAATTGAGATGAAATGAATTAACTTGAATCGACGATAAGGAAAAAGGGATTGAGATATGAATTTTGGCACTTTATGATTATATAGAAAATGAATGTTTTATCACTAGCCTTGTAAATGCACATTTTATTTATACCTTCGTTAAAACTCATATATTGTGTTAAATTGTTCCTACTGGGCTTTGGCTTACCCTATTTGGGAAAAATCATTTTCAGGTGTTGATGATATGCTTCCGCCAAGGCAGTAGCTCGGAAGGAGTTTGGAGCACGAGCTTTACTTTTTGTACTTATTTGTATAGCCAAGGGCTTAAATTATATGGAGTTAGACTCTCTTTTGTTGTAACTAAGCAATGACTTGGAAAGATGTAAGCCTTTAGGGTATATAATTGTCTGTTTAACTTTCATTCCTCTTTACTACTTGTAACATATACTGTAGATTCATGATGAAATATTTATGAATGTATATCACACGTGCCACTTTTGTATAACGATTCAGGTTAATGAAAATTTATTATTTTGATTACGTTGTCTTATATATATTGTGTTGGGTCGAATTATTGTAATTATTTAAGGGCGTTACGTAAATAGATAGACAGATATTCAAGGGTAATATGGTCTTTCAAATTGTTTTGTCTTTTTGATAAAAAAATAATAGAATTTGGAATTATTGTCCAAAAATTTCGAAATTACACTTATAACCTAAGTGCCTTAAAATAATTTTTAAAGGTAAAATTCTCTAAAATAAATTATTCATGCAGCGAGGACATATGATATATTTTTGAGTAATGTTGCACTTCATGAAAAAAATACGAGGGAAAGTTTCATGAATATTATTCACTTTTCAATTAGTTTGTGGTATCTTATTGTATGTTATGCAATCACATATATTAAGTTACATTCTATCAATCATAGAGCACTATAAGAGAAAATTATGTTTATACTATTTGCAAACTAAAACTTCAAAATTAGAACATATTTAGATTAAAGTAAGGGGTTGTTTGAGATGTTCTAAATAAGTGCATTTTTTGACTAAAAAATTGAGGAAAAAAATATGATTGTTTGGGTTAACTTTTTTGACTTTTTTATGAAAAAATGTGTATTAAAAAATTATATAAATTAGTGTGGAGGGAAAAATTAGAATTGGGAGTTGTGCAACCATTTTTGACTTTTGATAAATATTGATAACTTTTTAACATTTTGAATAACTTTTTGACTTTTTGGCAACTTCCCAAACTTAGCCTAAGCCTATTTTCTTGTTTTGATGCCTATCACACCAGGTTATTTCTAAAAGTTTTATAAATTTTTTCCCTTTTAAATTTTTTTATTTATTTATGAAACCTAATACTGTTTTTTTAAGACAATTTTGTCATTTATATTGTGGCAAATTACATTTTACCCTTTCAATTATTGTCTTATATTACTTTACCTTTTTGAATTAAAAATTGCAACACGTAACCAAAAAATTGTAACATGTAACCTGCTCATCTATTTTTTTTTTATTTTTTGAATTTTTTTTCAATTTGAATCTTAATGAGGGTATTAAATTACACTTAATCCCCTTAAACTATCAGTCAATATCATCACTCTATCCCTTAACTAAAAACATTGTTTGATTTTTAAGCTTAAATAAAGTTTTTCATTTTTTTTTTGTATTTTAGTAATTTTTTTTATATTTTAGTCAAAATTTTAAATTTTTAAATACACCTAAAAAATAAAAATTTGAAGAAAATTTTAAAAAAATCATTAGAAAAAAAGAAAAAAATACTTGTATATTTTCATATTTTTTTTATCCTTAGTAAAAAAAAAAAAGATTTTTTCATGAATATTTTCACTTTGTTTGATTTTGTTTTCAAATTTTTTAATTTTTTTTCTATAAAATTAAAAATTAATTTAGTGAAAAAATGAAAAAAAAAATCATCGTTTTTATTTAGTTTAATCTTTTTAAAAGGAAGAAATAATATTTCAAAATTAAAAAATATAATTTTAGATTTATTTTTGTTATGTTATTTTCTATTTAAAAAAAAATTAGAAAACAGTTTTTAAAATTCAAAGCAAACAGACTTTTTAAATACATCTAAATTAGATGTAATTAAAAAGTTAAAAAAAATTCACTAAATACAAATAAAACAATTGAAAAAAATATTTTAAAAACTAAAATAGATTGATAATTTAATTTTATGCATTCTATTGAAAATTTAAGATGTAAGTCACATGTCAATTTTTCGTTAATTTAAGAGACAGATTGTTAACAAAATATTTTCCGGTTCATTCATCGATTTAAATTTGAAAATATTACTGACCAATTCTCATGGCCGTTCAATTTATATCTGCTAACTAAACAAACGAATATAAATTAATTTTTGACTAATGCTATATAAATAAAAAATTCATACATAATAATATACCTCGTTATATATAATTCATTTCAAAACAAAACAATATTAAAAATAAATTTATTTACAATAATAATAATATTATATCATTTTTATTAAATTTTTTATATAAGTTATATATATTTAGGCTTCGTTTGGGAAGTAAATTGATTTTTTAATTTTTTTTTGACTTTTTTAACATGGGTTAAAAAATCTAATTTGAAAAGAACTTTTGTTTTTTTTTAATTTTTTTACAAAAAAAATAATGTAATAATTATAAATTAAATATGATATTTTACCTTATTAAACTAAAAAATTATTTTATTTTTTATAATTATTTTATTAAAAAAAAATACTCAAATCCAACCTCCCAAACATAGGCTTATTATTTCCTTTAATTTTTCTCCACCTACCTAAGAAGGACCATGAATAAATGCCGCCGACCCAATTTGACTCACTATCACGCCTAATGCGTATGACATTACCCCAGAAATGACACGAGCCCTAGGGATTTAACACCTCCACCGAATCACCCATCCAAAAAAAAAAAAACGAACTCCACCGAATCGCGACCGTTTCGATTCTCACCCAAAAAAAAAAAAAAAAAAAAAAAACCCCAAAAACAAAAACCGAAAACCTTCCCTATCTTCCCTCTCCTCTGTGCAACAACAAAACAAAGCAAGTTGAGCAATTTGAAGATCGAACAGAAGCCATGGGAGTGCCGGCGTTCTACAAGTGGCTGGCGGATCGGTACCCTCAGTCGATCTCCGACGTGGTCGAGGAAGAGCCCAGGGAGCTCGTCAACGGCGTCTTCTTCCCCGTCGATATCTCCAAACCTAACCCTAACGGCATGGAGTTTGATAACATGTACCTCGACATGAATGGAATTATCCACCCCTGTTTTCATCCCGAAGGCAAGGTACGTATCCTATTTCGCAACTCCAAAGTGTAGAGAGACTGTTTCACTCTTTTTCTTTTTTACTAGTGAATTTTGGAGGTGAAATCAATTCAATGAGTTGATCCAGAGAGAGAGAAAGTTGGGTTTTTAGGCTTGTCTAGGGTGTATTTAAATCAATTTCAAATTTAATTTGGTTTGACCAGTCAATATTAGTTTGTGGATACAAAAATTGTATTATTTGTGCTAAGATTGTCTATAGCTCGTGCTTGTTGTAAGCATAAACAAGTTTTCTGAATCGTTCAATCTGCTGTATCTCTCACTCCTATGTTCATGATACCAAATCGGAGATTACAGTCGTAGTGATGACTTCTTTCTGTTCCATGTTTCAATTTTCTTGTTTGTTTGGTATGCCCTGACAGTAGAACACTTGCTAAGATTTTTCTATTTTTTAGCGCTGAAAATATATTATTTACGGTTGGAAGTAGTACATTGGAAACATATACAACTATAAAGAAATAGCACAAAGATGTTAGAAACTTGGACATAGTTGATTGTTTCTTTATGCTAAGTAATGTATGATGGATAATTCATTAGAATTCTATAAATGACTTTTATCCTTTTAGATAAACTCAAGTCTTTGCTTATTAACTAGATCTTGTTATGATCCCACATCGATTAACAAAGGCAATGACCATGTGAAATGTGCATACAAGCCTCTTGGGCACCCTCCCCTTGCAAGCCAGTTTGCAAGGTTGAGTTCTACTCAAAGATCGTAATAGAAGCCTAGAAATGTAACTAGACACAAAAAAGATTTTTGTAATGGAAACCATATGAAAATCTAAGTCTTAGGGTAATTTATCAAAAAAACAAAAAAGAAATCTAAGTCTTAGGGTGAATGTAATGACTCTAGTAAGGGGTAGAAGTTAAAAGTATTTTAGGAGAACCATGGTATCTCTTTGTTTGTGAAGTTTTTTAAATATTGAAACTCGCAAAGTGTAGAGAGATTGTTTCACTCTTTTTCTTTTTTACTAGTGAATTTTGGAGGTGAAATCAATTCAATGAGTTGATCCAGAGAGAGAGAGAGTTGGGTTTTTAGGCTTGTCTAGGGTGTATTTAAATCTATTGCAAATTTGAGTTGTGTTTGACCAGTCAATACTAGTTTGTGGATACAAAAATTGTATTATTTTTGCTAAGATTGTGCTTGTTGTAAGCATAAACAAGTTTTCTGAATCGTTCAATCTGCTGTATCTCTCACTCCTATCTTCATGATACCAAATCGGAGATTACAGTCGTAGTGATGACTTCTTTTTGTTCGGTGTTTCAATTTTCTTGTTGTTTGGTATGCCCTGCCAGTAGAACGCTTGCTAAGATTTTTCTATTTTTTAGCTCTGAAAATATATTATTTACGTTTGGAAGTAATACAGTGGAAACATATTATTGAATCTAATACAATAATGTTGTTATGTTCCAACAACTGTAAAGAAATAGCACAAAAATGTTAGAAACTTGGACATGGTTGATTGTTTCTTTATGCTAAGTTATATATGATGGATAATTCATTAGAATTCTATAAATGATTTTTATCCTTTTAGATAAACTCAAGTCTTTGCATATTAACTAGATGTTGTTACGATCCCACATCGATTAACAAAGACAATGACCATGTGAAATGTGCATATGAGCCTCTTGGGCACCCTCCCCTTGCAAGCCGGTTTGCAAGGGTGAGTTCTTCTCAAAGATCGTAATAGAAGCCTAGAAATGTAACTAGACACATAAAAGATTTTAGTAATGGAAACCATATGAAAATCTAAGTCTCAGGGTGAATGTAAGGATTCTAGTAAGGGGTAGAAGTTAAAAGTATTTTAGGAGAACCATGGTATCTCTTTGTTTGTGAAGTTTTTTAAATATTGAAACTCGCAAAGTTTTACGATTAATCGTAATCCCTTCAAGGCTCAGTAGATCATTGCAAAGGTGATATTATCTAACAAACCATTGCTCAATGGTATTGTATGTTAAGACAATGTATTAAATGAAAAAAAAAAAAAAACACTGTATGAATAAAGAAATGCAAATGAAGAAGAAAAATATTAAGGTAATTATTAGAATTGACAAAATTTATAAGCATTGGTGATTCAAAGAGCTTCAATTAGAGGTAGCAATGGGTGTGGGGAAGGGGGCTCCCAATCCTCTGACCACCAAAGAGGACTTACACCCAGCCCTTGGCCTAACCTAGGAGGCAACATGGAAACAATTGTATTTGCAAACTTCACATTGTCTTTGTTTTTGAAAATATGAAAAACAAAAATGGAAACCAGAAACAAAAAAATATTGAAAATGAAACCTAATGGGCCCTAATCTATTTTATTTCAATCTCTTCTTTGTATTTTTAAGCTTCACTTATATATCATAAATTGATCAACAAACCCTAGGACTATCAATATCCACGAGAATTTATTTGCTAAAGGTTGAAAACAAAAAAATGATAATTAATGAATCTAGAACTCAAATTAAGTAGCATTGGAGAGCTCTTTTAGAGTGATTTCTAGCAAGAGATCATTACATGATGACTGATTCTGGCAGTGATGAGGTGAGCTACATAAAGTTGAACACAATGGTGTGAGAAAGAGGTATATCTTATGATTAAGAGCAAGTATGAGATTCACACAAATGGATGTTTCATATAGTTTACTAGGGAAATTTTAGATTTCTATTGTAGTGCATTTCTCAATGGCTGGTGCATTTTTCACAATTTACATGTATCATGTTTGGATTGGGGTTTATTTTTTTTGTAATTTGTTTTCTCGTTTGTATTGTTCGTGTCATTTTCATAATGTGTATATTGCTTTTGTCGCTTCCTACCGGCCTCACTTTTCTCTTGGAATTTCAATATTTTTTTGAAATCTAAATGATAGGGAGGCTAATGACTTTAGCTTCTTTGTTGACTATATTCATGGTGTTTCTTTGCAGTGTGGTATTATTGATAGAATAGTGTGGATCATTTGAGGTTATTTTTTTTTATAATTTTTTCTTTCATAAGCTTATTGTTAATCCCTATGTTACTTGAAAAGCCGATCATTTTGGTACATATAACAGGAATGGGAAGGGGTACACTGTATGTTCTAAAATGGGGTATGTAGGCTACGTTACACGGGCTCTTTGGAATTTCAGAGGTACCCATGTTAACACGGCACGGCACGACACGACACAACACAACACGGGTACGAGTGTGGGATACGGCTCTTTACAAATGAATATGACTATATTTTGCCCTAAATACAGAAGAAATGAAAGAGGAGAGAGCAAGGAGAACCTGGTCGATGACTTCCCTCTGGTCGCCGACTTTGATCTTGTTTTCTTTGATCACTTCGATCTCGTTTTCTTCAATCTCGTCTTCTTTATGTCTTCTTCTCTGTCAATCTCCTTTTCTCTCTATTAGTTGATCCATCTCCTCTTTTCTCTCTCTCTCTCTCGCCGATCTATTCTCTCTCTCTCTATATATATTGTCGATCTATTCTCTCTCTCTCTCCCCTTTTTAACATATAATAAATAAATCATATAATTTGTTATATAATAATAAATCTAATTAAATCATATATAATAATAAAAAAAAATCTAATAAAATCTATAAAAGAAATTATCTAATTTTTATTTATTATTTATTTTAACATAGTTTGTTATTCCTTATTCCTTATTTGTTATATTTTTTATTTATTTATTATATATATATGTCAATTAAAAGTAAAAAAATAAATTATATAGATACATTAAAAATATTGTCAATAAAAATAATAAATACGATAAAAAATAATAAATATATTTAAAAAATAAATATTTAACTCATATTTATGTAGTAAATATATTTAAAAGTAAACATTTAACGTATGTATCCTCAATTTTAGTTTTGAAGCGTCTAACCCCTAGATATGCACTCTCACCCGATACTCACAACTGGGTCTGTGTAACGTAGATGATAGGAATAGACTTTGTAGATTACAGTATTAAATTTTAAGGTATGATGCATGGTAGCGGTATCCTTGTTCTTACCTTGTACACATCATTTACAAGGATTGGTAATTTTAAAATGGAATTTTGAAATTTAATTGGAAATATGGGTGAATTGGTCACGTGCTTTTAGCAAAGTGGTGATGAAACAGGCAACCTTCTAAATGATAGATATGACATCTAAGGTGATTCATCATTTTTTATGGTGTGAATGGTTGTGAGTGTAGGATTTTGTGCCAAAAATGAAGATCTTAACACTACTAAAATTAGATTAATGCATGAATGCATTTATGGGAGGTTGAGTTGTTATTTCTTATGGACTGTATCAGAGAAAGCTGTATGGGACTGTTTGATCATTCGGATGACATCCAATCAATTTGTTCAAGAAAATTAGTTGATGAAATTTGAAATTTGTTGAGATCTTCATTAAGTTGTCAAAATACCTGATGAAACTCACCCTGGTAACTTGATGAAACTCGGGAAGACTTGATGAAACTCACCCTGGTAACTTGTCACCAAACATATATTAAGTTATCAAAATACCCTGAAATCTACAGAATTACATATTTGTCTATGATTGTGAGCTTTTCTGGTTTTCTAGATGAAAGATATTGTAGTCATTGGCTTCATCCAAGTGCAATAGAAATTAGTTTCCAGTCATGTCAGATCATGGGACCCGTCAGTCCATTGTTGAGGCCCACATGGTTGTTTCTCTTCTTTTTCCTTTCTCCAAAAATAATCTTTGTGAAGTTGATACCCATCATATAGTTTTGAACACACTTGTGGATTTTTTTTTAATCTATATTTTTAAATAGTAGGAGAGAAGAATGTTATTGAATAGGAGATGAGGATAGCTATGATTTTTTTTTGATAAATGAGTATTGATATGGAATACAGATGAGACATCTTTCAAAAAGAAATCTAAATGTATAAGCAAGAAAAAAAAGCCAGCTAATAAAATGCAACTTTACCATTACGGACATATGTTACATGGACTTGGGTACGAGTATTGGGTGCAGGGGTGGGTGCGTTTTGTTGTCCAAGTATCAAACCTGCCTAAACTAAAATCTTAAGATATTGGATATATATATATATCCAAAAGTTGGGTATGAGTATGGGAACATGTCCTGAACACCTACATATATTGCATATTGTATAATATTTTTAAACAGGATGATGTGAATTATTTTGAAATGTACTTGAAATTAAATGGAATTTTTTGAAAAATACAGAATTTCTATATCCCATCCATGTTAGAGAGGCAATAAATATTTCTCTACTAGTAAATGTGGGCCTTTTCTTCTTTCTTCAAACATCATATAAAATTAGAGGATCCAAGTTTCTAAATTGGGTATGGGTGTTGGACACAAGGGCCACATCCTTTCGCTTGTCATGTCTGGTGGACACGGGTACTATGGAGGAAATTTAAGAGTTCATTTAACACTGCTACGGACAAATGGAAGACCATGGGAAGTAGCCTGGGAGCATGGCATGGGCCATTGAGTACACGTAGTGCCATGCCGTTGTTTTCCTCTTCTCCCTCCTTGATATTTAAAAGAAATGGAAATGATTGACCCATAAATTTGATGCCTACATAGCACATTGAACACATTACAAAAAACATTTGCAGTTTTTTTTTTTTCGTTCTTGTTTCTCTCCATGGCCAATTAGCTATAACTCCCTTCTTCTCTAAAAATAGAAAAAGAAAAATAAAACAAGATGCTAACCTTGTGAAGGCTGGAATATAACAATGTCTCTAATTCTACTAACTGGGGACTATTTTCTGTCGGGCACTTTTGAAATATTACTAATTGGTCCGTACATTTGGATTGATCAATTATGGGCTATGATAAGATTTATGCATCTTGTTTAAAAACCTGCTTAACGTCACTTTTGTGCTACTTGGTTATGTTGAGAGATCTATGTTGATTTATTTGGTACTTGGCTTATTTTTTGATCAATACTTTAGTTTGTGTTACCTGTAATGTTGTTGAGAGATTTGTTTTGGCTTGATTGGTACTTGGGTTATTATTTTGAAAAAAGGACTTTAGTTTGTCCTACCTCTCTTTCTCCATCTTTCTGTTATTTTGTCATGATTTTCATAGTCTACTAGTGTGATTCTGAAGAGACATTCTTTTCACATGCAGCCTGCACCTGCCACTTATGATGATGTATTTAAATCAATATTTGATTACATTGACCATCTATTCTCATTGGTTCGCCCAAGAAAGCTTCTTTATATGGCAATTGGTAAGATATATTTTCTCAGGTGTCTTATTATCTTCCTTCCTAGTTTCCACTTAATCTTTAATGTTTGTAGATGGGGTTGCTCCGAGAGCCAAAATGAATCAACAACGTTCCCGGCGCTTTAGAGCAGCAAAGGATGCTGCTGCAGCAGCTGTAAGTTTCTCCTACTCATGTCATGCTTAATAATAGAGAAAGTCGGTAAGTATCTATACTTTTGTTTCATCTTTAGGAAGCTGAGGAAGAAAGATTGAGAAAAGAGTTTGAAGCTGAGGGGAGAAATCTGACTCACAAAGAAAAGGCTGAAACATCTGACACAAATGTCATAACTCCTGGCACTCAATTTATGGCAGTGCTCTCAGTTGCACTTCAATATTATATACAGTCTAGGTTGAATCACAACCCTGGTTGGTGGAGTACAAAGGTTCGGTCGACTTATTCTTAGATTTTTCTTGTTCCCTTCAAGATCGGATAATTCCTTTCCTGTGGGGTAACCCCTTCTGGTTCTCTTTTCCGATATACTTCTGGCTTTCAGGATACTTTCTGTGTTAGTTTATTTATGGGGCTGCATTGGGTGATTATTTGAAGGTCATTCTTTCTGATGCAAATGTTCCTGGTGAGGGTGAACACAAAATCATGTCTTATATTCGCCTACAGCGTAACCTTCCTGGTTTCAATCCGAATACTCGGCATTGTTTATATGGCCTGGTGAGTGTGATTTCTTGTCCTTGTTTTTGTTAATGATCTCATTAATCCTCTTCTTTTCTTGCTTTCACTTGCTATGTGCTTAAAGAGGTTTGAGTGTTTTACATATCCACTATAAAATTGCAATTTATTAAGTTCTAAATTAATGATATAGTTAATCTCAAGCAGGATGCAGACCTTATTATGCTTTCTTTAGCAACTCATGAAGTTCACTTCTCAATATTAAGGGAGGTTGGTGGCTGCTCTTAAAACACTCCTGTATCCCTGACTTTTTGGTTAGTTATGATTGATGCCGGTTGCCTTTTATTTTTTTTTGGCAATTGTACAGGTTATCACTTTTCCTGGACAGCAAGAAAAATGTTTCCTTTGTGGTGAAGCTGGTCATCTGGCTGCTGAGTGTCGTGGTAGGCCGGGTGGCCAAGACACTGTTAATGGGAAGGTGGTGGACAACACACCGATTCACAAGAAGAAATATCAGGTTGGATATTGTCATTCTGCCTTCTGATGATTCAATTTTAAGTAATTTTCTTTTTGTTTGCCACATACTCCGTGTACTGTTATTTATGAGCTTATTTATGCCCTGGGCAGTTCCTCAACATCTGGGTGTTGCGAGAATATTTGCAATATGATTTGGAGATTCCCAACCCTCCTTTTGAGATTAACTTTGAGCGATTGGTGGATGACTTTGTGTTTCTGTGTTTCTTTGTTGGCAATGACTTTCTCCCACATATGCCGACATTGGAAATTCGTGAGGTATGTTTCTTTTAGATTTTAGCATAATAGAATTAGTTCTCTCTTTTCCAATGAACAAACTGATTGCAACATTGTGGTAGAATCAAAATATGCTATAATGTTGATGTTTTCTTCCTTAGTATTGGAATTTCTCTCTTCATACTGCAATTTGCTAAGAAAAACACACTTCTTTTTTCAGGGTGCTATTAATCTATTGATGTCTGTCTATAGAAAGGAGTTTGCTGCTATAGGTGGTTATCTTACTGATGCGGGTGAGGTAATATTCTTCTTTAAATATTCTACAGTACACAATTCCTGTTCTGTATGTTGTATGTGTTAGTTGCAGATGCAGATGTTTTTACATGCATAGTGCATAAGGAATGTACCTAGGATGATTACAAACTTGAAGCCTGCCCCTCTACATTAACTCAAGGATCCAAGATTCAGAGATTGCTAATTGAGGGATCTTCTCTCCCTGCCACCTTGCTATTCTACAAATCCCAATATTCAATATTGTCAAAGGAATGACAATTCATCTTGTTGGAGAGCTCGATATAGATTGTTGGGCTCAGTTTCTAACAACTTCAGCTTTTGGGACTAGTGATGATCTAACATGGTCAATTCTAAGAGTGTCTGAAATCTGAACGGTGGGTTATGTAAAACCTAGCCTAGGCCTGGTTGATAGCACCGCACAAACTGAAACAATAAAAATACAGCTTTCTCATGTTGGTTTTGGTTGGTTTATATATATATATATATTTCTGAAGGCTTTCATTGTTCAACCCAATAAGTGATAAATGGTGATTGAACTGCAGCATTTCTATTAAATTAATGGCATTGAATCAGCCAACTATCAAGGCTGTTCTCATGATTGGCTCCTTGCTGCCTAATAAAAAAAAAGTTTATAAAGCTTCTACTAGATTTACAGAAGCAGCATTGTGTTGAGTTAATTGTGGGCAAAATTGTATAACATGCATTCAACCTCAACTCAACAAGTCTTAGTCCAGTTACTTGGTGTTGGTATTTTGCATGAATTTGTTTTCTCACGTTGCTTTATAAAAACCAAATTTCTCCAATTGATTATATTAAAAAAACATATACTTGGTTAAATCCATGGGAATTGTGTGTTCTCTCGCCACCTCAAATCATGTACCTCTTGAGGTTTCTTGTCTTTATGGCACATTCAACCTCTTATATCACTCCTCCTCACAGTGCATTAGTCGATCCACATTGCACATGGATGAACAATCTCAAACTATTCTTCTTTATTTGATTTCCAACAGGCGTCTCTTCTAACTTCCACAGGATTTTTTTTTTCTTCTTGTTTTGTCTATTCTGGTAACACCACTTGTATAACCACTGGTCTATACAAAATTATCTACACCCATATCCTGAACATGTTTCTTTGTAGCCAACATTTTTGTGTCGTACGATATAGTTGACCTTATAGAACTTGGCTGCAGTACAATATACATTTTACAATCATGTAACACTCCTGAAAGGCTATAGACCTAACGTAGAACCTACAAAGGGTGTTGGTCGATTAAGACAGAAGGATGATGTCTTGGAAGTCGAAATCCACTAAGGAGTGTGTCACAACTCACCTGCCAAATGGTAATCCAATAACTGAATGATGATTATTTCAGTTGTCACTTCCCAGTTTAGCCTGAGCCCAGTTGGATCCACCTTGGATTGATAATGTCCACAGCAGACACACACAGTGAAGATAAAATCTGTGTTGTTAGGATTTGGATTCTAAAATTTTTGGACCGGTTATGTTGATAATGCAATCAAAATCATCTTCTTTCTTGGTGAACACTTGGAATTGCTTTTTGCAATTATTAATTCATGATAGTCATTTGGTAACTTGATTTTGCACTTATTATTAAGTTGAAACATCTGGTATTAGGTTGGAATATCTGCCTCTTACAAGCTTGTCCTGAAGTCTGTCATTTACTTATTCAGGTTTTACTGGACAGAGTGGAACATTTTATCCAGTCAGTTGCAGTCTTTGAGGACCAAATCTTTCAGAAGCGGTCTCGTATACAGCAGGTGCTTCCTTATCATATATCTCTATTACTCTTTCTCATTCCTTGAAAACCTAGAATATTTAAGAAAACAGATGTAAGCATTTATTGTAAAAAGGAATGGCATTTCTTGAACAACTAGGATGTTTAAGGAAAAATAAGATTACAGAGTATTGGTGCTCAAGCACTGGACCACAGTGCAGCCTATGAATTAGTTGTCTAGTTGGGTTACTAATTATTATTTGCAGCTTTATTTTGCTATACTGCAGCATGAGGTTATGGAATTATCATTTAATCCACAAATTTCTTGGAGTTTTGATGACTGGTCTACTACTTGTATCAAAACAACAGTAGAGTTTCTTCTACTCCTTTATTTCCCCCCCTTTTTTGCTCTAAGTTTATAATGACAATATTTAAGTTAGATATTGAAAACTTAGTTATGCATACCAGGGCAAGGGCAGGGGAGCGATGTCATACAGAAGTATCTAAGGTTGGCAGTGGCTATGGGAGCATGTCTATATTTTATATTAAAAGAAAATATACATTCTAACAATTATTAATTTTTGCTTAGTTATAACATCTGTGTTGAGATATGAATAAATATTAGAGATTAATATCAACTACAAATTATCTTTGTTAAGTATAAATAAATATTATGTAAATAAAAAGTACTAGAATAAGTTTGAGTTGTTTTTCTTTTGTTTCTTTGAGATTTGTATGGCTAAGAGGTTCTATCTCAATTAGGAGCGAGTTTCTTTCTTGATGAGAGTTGTTTCTAACAAGTTTCTTACTTAAAGAGTACATAATCTAGTTTCTGAGTAAGAAACATCACTCAAGTGTAAAACATGTGTAAAATTTAGCAAATATATTAGATCACATCTAAAAACTGAACAAAACTCATAAAAATCTATATTGAATCCCACTAAATATGATTTTGAAATAAACCATGCGTATCAATAATTATTTTCAAAGTTGTGAGAAGTGTAAAAACTTCATGACTCTAGTTTCCGCCGCCATGCTCCATTATACCCTACGATTGTGTCAGCGTCGTTACTATTATGATGGCTGCCGCCATTATGTGAAACCATGGTTTGGAGGGTACACATAAAAAGCCATCTTTTGCTTAAAAAGCCAAAAAGCCCCTAGGCTGTTGTCATCAGCTAAAAAACCTGAATGTCATTAACTTTTTGCACTGACAAAAAATTAGCTTTTTAGCAACATTTTACACACATTAGCATTTTTAGATTCTAAAAAAAGCCAAAAGCCACGGAAAAACCAACCCCAAACCCACCCAACCTCTTGTCTTTCGAGGTTGTTTGACTGCTGAAGTTTAGTCTAAAGAAGTTGGAGTTGATTCTAATGGCAATGGTCAAGGTCACACGTGGAAATTTTAAAAAAAATGGGCACGACATGTGGGGGGTACATGCAAATTATATAATGTAAAAATTAAAGGGGTATGTATATTTTTTGTTTACTAGATTTTTTTAACCAACAAAATGGCTTAAAATGATGGTCTAATCAATTATATATTGAGATCTAATTAATAGTTTAAAACTTTAGAAGAAAATGAAAAAATGACTTTTTAGATTTTTTTTTTTTTTTGGGTCATTTAATGATTATTTAGTATGGAAATTTTGACTTTATTACTCATTCTATTAGGTTGAAGTAACTTTGGTTTAGAGAGCACATACCTTGGCCCCCGTCTAGACAATTTCTAGGTCTGCCCCTGGAGATGGGGTAAGCAGTTAAGTATCATATTATGGATTGGGACACAATATGTTAGCCTACGAGAGCAAAGTGTTTGGGGATTAGGAAATTTTTATTGGTGTTTTGTTTGGTATGGAGATTTGTTTGTTATCTTTGAAGTTGGGTTATTATGTGAGTTGGGATGATTTTGAGCTACTGTTTCAACGTGATGGTAATAATATGTTTTAGGACATTCCATTGAGGAGAAATGTAGGATGGGGATGTGATGAGCTTCCACAATGCTTTTTGTTGGATTCCTTCATCTTGAGGTGTGTTTCGGGTGAAGTCCTTTTATGAAACATTATTAGTAGACGCGAGAGATTCTTTTTGGATAGGGGATTGGTTAGTTGGTGCCCCTTTGAAGGGGGCATTTTTTTGGCTTAGAATGTAGTTCACAAGAAGATCCTAATTGAAGATGAGGACATTTTACAGTCAATTGGTGTTGTACATGCAAGTGCGATAAGGTGAATGGGCCACATATTCATTATGGGGCGGTGAAGGAGTTGTGGGACATGTGCCTTGTGATGTTTGGGATTTCATGGGTTTTTATTAGAGGAATAGCAGACTTCTTGCATTTGTGGTGGGGTGGTAGAGCAGGAACCAAAGAAGGAAAGAATGACTTTTGATCTTCTTTAGGACATAAGACTCCATGTATAGACTGAAGAGCAATTTTATATGTTTATTTATTTGTGGCTAGGGATTTTTTTTAGTTGATGTGATGCATGGGTTCTGTTTATGCCGTCAGTGCATATCTTAATTAAAAAATCCATTTATTATTGGTGTTAATAAATTGTGGTTAATTTAATTGTTTTTTATATTATTTTTAAATATTATGTCAGGCTATGGAGAATAATGAAGAAATGAAGCTTAGAGCAAGAAAAGAGGTTTCTCAGGAGCCACCAGTACCAGTTGTGGACAAGGTTTGATTCCTCCTTGGTTTTATTGAAAGATCTTCCAAGTAACGAGCACCTAATTAAACTTTTTATGGTAAACTTTGATTGTGGACAGGGAGACTGATTTGATTGGGTTTTAATTGAACCAAAGTTGAAATTAATGATAGCTACATATTCATAAGCTTTTTCAAAACTAAGCTTAATCATTTCTCTTTTGGTTCCTCTCAGACTTTCTTTTGTCTAGCAATAAGAATGGCATTCATTATTTTACTTGATTTGATACATAATACTTAAGGAAGGGGAATTGATGTGGGAGAAAGTTTCTAATTTAGGAGATGGGTTTTTTATTTAATAAAAGATTATCCATTATACTGTAGGCTTGAAATATTTTGGTCATAGATCTTTTTGGAGCATCACCTATTGGAAAAAGAAATAAAAAGTATTCTTCTCAAGGTTGGCAAAACTCAAATTGTTCCATTAATTAGTAAATAAAAAGAGTATAGTAAGAACTATGAATATTTTGTCGTGTCTCCATATCCTTGAATATGGGAGTTAGATTAATTGGACACTAGTTACACAGCTGCATTGGCTACTTGCATCCGTACCTAAGTAACATAACTGAAAAGCACCTTTCTCCCTGCACCAAACAGCACCATTATTTGCCATGTCCTTTCCTTTTCTTAGCCCTGGATTTTGCCGTTGATCCTTTCAGTTTTTTTTGGGGAAGTGCTTTCTTGATAGTCATTAAATGGACTAGTGAAGGTTGCAGTTGCTATGGAAATACTTGCCTGATTAAGGGTGTGTTTGGATCAAGCATTGTGGAAGAATTTGTGGAGGGAAAAGATAGGAAAAGAAAAAGGAATGGAAAAGTGAATGAAAGTACAAGCTAAGTTTTGTTAACATCTCAATTCCCTACTCAATTCTTGATCCAAAAATGGCCTAAAAGAGTTGAATGTTTGTGTATTTGCATCCCCCAACTCCTCCATTTTTCTCTTCTTCAGTTTAAGATCAGTGATCTTATTTCTTGGCTGCTTGATTAACTAATTCCAATTTTGGTTTTTCCATTAAATGAGGTGCATTGTCGTAGTCATTTGAATAAGCTATTGGATAGCTTGATAATCATTGTCGGTTCATTTCCTAACAACTTAAGCTTTGGAATCAGTAGTGGTTCAACATGGTATCATAGCTTTAGTTTTGAGGGGTTTTGGATTCAAATCTCTTTATTTGTTTTTGTTCCTCATTCAAGTCTCTTCGTTTGCTTATGTTCCTTGTTTGCATTTACGCTTCTTTCTATGTATGTCTGCTTGCAACTTCACGTGCAAAATGAGGTTACATGAGGGAGGATGTTGGATGACTTGAGATACATTGTTGGCCCATTTCTGAACAGATTGAGCATGCTTTATCTACTTAGCTCTCCAATTAGCTTGGATTTTTGGAGCCTAGTTATTTGTTTTTGTTTTTGTTTTTATTACTAACTTTTCTTGTCACTCATCTTTACTTTATGCTTTCCTATACCTTAGAAGGAGATTATTTATAAATTGTTGTTTCTGTATGGATTATGTTTTTTATTTAAGTACTTATCAAATAACACAAATTGTTATTGAGGTTGAGTTATGGTGGCCCACAAGGTGAAGGCAGTTAAAAATTTCAATGCTTTTTGCCCTCTTATTCCCTCACTCAGGGCAAGAAAAAAGAAAAAGAAATAGCACAGGCTATGAATGATTGGTTAATTTTGAGTTTGTTGTTTAATGTCATATGCGATGCAAGTGGCTCTATGGGTCTTAAAAGGTGACCTAGTAAGCATGGAAATACTTACCAGATGGTGCATCTGCTTCATACTGGGGTTGGACATGTCACTTGAACACATGCTAGACATGCATCCAAACATACCCTATTATTCTTTTCATTTTTATTTTGTTAAAACCAAACACACTGCAAACAAGTGTGGACATGCACACCTGTTGTTTAGACTTGTGAATCAGATGTCAAGACCCAATGTAACTTCAAAGGAAATACAATGGGAATCTGATTGAAAGTAAAAAAAAAAGGAGGAATAGAAGGTTTAAAGTACAAACAAAAAGAAGAAAGATTTAAACCCTATTATCCAAAGTCCTATTTGTTTGAGAATACTCGGGCTTTTAAAGTAGACAATTGAACCTTCTATTCCGCACATATTAACACTGACATAATATGTTATTATTTTCATTTAATAGGTATAATTTATTGGTAATGCAAAAATGTATAATTTATTATACACATGTTAATATGTTTTTTAAGGCTTTTTAAGTTGATTGTAAATACTAAGGTGCCGTTTGGTAACACTTAAGTGTTTCTAAGTTAGACATTAAAGACTTTCAATTCACACTTATTCTCCAACATATAAATATAGAAAATAGTGTTAATTACATGGACCTCCCTTGTTTTTTGACAATTATAGGGAGCTTCGTTGTGGTTTATGAAATTACACTGTCCTCCCTTGTTGGATTTGTCGAGTGACGGAGATTAACAGTACGTGTTTGTGCAATTACCATTTTATCTCTTTACAAAACTGAATTTTCACCACCGTACTTATGACCAAACAAATACAAATTAAATTTTATATAACCAAAGACACCAATTTCATTTTTTTTTACGACACATCTCCACCGTCTGTCCCATCTAATCTCTCTGTCCTCACTTCTTTCTTCCTTCCCTACTTCTCTTGAAATCACCATCTCACAAGATCAGTGTTGCGAAAGGTGTGCCTAGGCGCAAGGCGCAGTGAGGTGCAGGTGCAGCGCCTTAAGCCACTCAAGGTGTGGTGAGTTGAAGAAGGCACAGCGACTTGGCCAGGCGAAGAGAGGCACAAGTCGCGTGACTTTTGGGGCTTTATTTTTCTTGTTTTCTGATTGAAATCTAACGGTTCATATCAGTGTTTTTAAAGGCTCCAACTATATAGGATTACAACTCTGAGGGATATAGCTCAATACCTAGCCCCAAATACGACTGAAAATCCCTAATCGATTCATTAGAAGAAATCTTGCGAGGAAACCTTATGGTGTCTGAGTCTCTTCCCTTCGGCTTGTCTTGTCTTGTCTAGATCAGGTAGTTCTTCTTCTTCTTCTTCTTCTTCTTCTTCTTCGATGCTTCTTCTTCTCCTTCTTTTCTTCTTCTTCGCTGCCTCAATTTTTTTTCCATCTGTCTCAATTTTTTTTTTTGGCTTCCTCGCTGCTCTCTGTTTTTTTTTTTTCTTTCTTTTTTCTTTTGCTTATTCGATGTGCTGGGCTGGGTTATTCTTCTTCTTATAATCAAATAGAGACAATTGATTTTCTTTTTTAGTTGAGAATGTCATCAGGTGTGGCATCATCTTGCACTTGGAATTTTTAATTTGATATGACACCACCTGTTTCCACTTAACTTTCAATATGGAAACATTGATTAGCTACATAATTTAGTTATAGTTTCCACTTACAAAAAGCTTCAAATGAACATCAACTTACAAAAAAAAAAAAAATCCTTTTCAGTGTTTAAAAAAAAATCCTTTAAGCATTATTTTTTTTAGTATTAATTCATTTCCAATTTTTTTTTTTTTAAGTTATAGTTTCAGTGTTTCACTTGCAAAAAGCTTCATATATATACATATATATTTTTTTGTTGAATGTGGATTATTTTACTTTTGAAAATTGGAATGCTATGTAATATGCTCTTTTATGACTTTGAAAATTATTCTATAATTTGCTGTGGTTACTTTAAAAAAAAAAAAAAAATTTTCCTGTCTTAGTACTTATATGCTATGTGAATCATTAGTCTATGTTAATTTATCTATTTTTAACTGAGACTGTGTGCTGTACTTCAATAAAGCCTGCGCCTCGCCTTGTGCTGAAGCCCCAAGAGACCTTTGACGCCTTGGTGCACCTTGAGCCTTTAAAAACACTGCACACAAGATTGTCTTTGTCTTTGTGCACAACTCTATCTTCTCCGCCTTTGATTAGTTAAGTCTCCTTGCGCAACTCCATTTTTGTCACCCTCAATCACCACCATCACCCAACACCATTGCGATCTATCACCACCATTAGCAATCAATCCCTCAATCACACTCTCTATGATCTTTGTCAGATATATGTATAATTTTGCTCAATACAGATATACTCTTGAACATTCAAAAACCAGAAAGTAGAATGGAAGGGTGGTCCGTGTATGAGCGAAGGGAGGTTTGTGTATATTGTTCGCTAATGTAAGGCAGATCAGTGTAGTTTCAGAAACCAGAATGAATGTCCGTTTATTTTTCTGAAACCTCGGGAGAGGCCCGTGTAATTAAGCCCTAGAAAGTGTTGAAATTTGTTATTATTTTCATGTAATAGGTTTAAATTTATTTTGTGTGTAAAAAATGAATAATTTGTTATCTTTCCATGTAATTGTGTAAATTTTTATATGCCTTCGTCATTGTATCTCAGTCATTTCCGTGTCTTTTATGTTTTTAAAATTTTCATGTCAGCATATTTGAATTGTGTCATATGCATGTTTTGTGATTGTATTAGTGTCTTTTTGAAGGCGAAGATAGTTGAGTTTACACTTAATACTCTCTTTTAGGCTTTTTAATTTTTAAACCCTACCAACACACAAGTTTTAATTTATTTGTGAGTACTAGGTGCTTCTAAAGTAGAAATTAGTACTTCCTATTTAAACCTCTTTTCCAATATATATGCATAGAAAATGTATAATTTTTTATTATTTGTTTGTATCAGGTATAAATTTGTCATGTAAAGTTGATTTATTTGTTATTTTTGCCACATAAATGTTTAAATTATATATATGTTACTGATTTGTGAAATTTCTGTGTTGGCTTGTTTGCATGGCATCATACTTGTATGTGTATCAATGTTTATTAGAAGATAAAGGTAGTTGAGAAACTCTATGGTTTATTTTTGCCACATAAACCCCCACCCCCACCCCAAAGGAAGAAAGAAATTTCTATAATTGGTTCATTTTTAAGTTTTTAGATTATTCAATTAAGCCTTCTCTGTAATCTAAAAACAACCTATCCAATCTCATTAGAATTTCAAACACCTCAGTATTGATTCAATAAATTTGAAATTTCACTTCCAAATGTTGTGGAAATTGGAATTTATAAACAATTATTCTAGGTTTGTATATATGAATGCATCCTTTTTTCTTTTTCTCTTTTTGGGTGACAAATAGTGATCTCATCACTTCGGTTTTTTGATATCAAATCTTTGAATAGCCTGCATGTCTGCTTGTGCAATATGCACATGAAACACAATTGTATGGCTGGTTTTCTCTTGATTCAATATTAAGAAATTTGCTAATTTGCTCAGGTGAAATTAGGTGAGCCTGGATATAAAGAAAGGTATTATGCCGAGAAATTTGATGAATCAGACCCAGAAAAAATTGATGAAATTAGAAAGGATGCAGTAAGTTCTCTCTAGCTTTGCACTGTCTCAAGGAATGAACAAGTGCTAAAATTTTCATTTATATTAACATGTCTTCATCCTCTATATATGTTTTCCAGGTACCATGATGTATCAAAATAATGTAGAGAATGTCGAACTTCTTACTGTTTATTGATGTTAATGTTTATTCTTTTGGCTGACTTGAATGTGCATTATGCATGCTGGTTTTGCCATCTGTCAATTATGTGATTATGCTTTTCAAAATTGTTCTGCTCAATTTTTCTTTGCTAGGAGAGTAGGTACAAGGTGTGCTTGTTCTGTGAAATTCTGCAAAGAATAATTGAAGAAATGTAGTCAAACTTGTAGGCATTTGGACAATTATCAGTTTATTTGGAGGATCTGTTTTCCCACATAACTTCTATGATTTTGTATTGGATTAGTTGATATATTTGAAAGAGTGGTAAGATCCTGGTGAAAGTATTTGAGATATGGTACTTTTTAAAATGTGAGTATGATGGTAATTTGTACTTGTATTTCTTCTTTTGAAGTTTGCTGGTACTCATTACAAAGCGAACTGGTCTTATTGATGAATTGTGATCTTGGTGGACTCCTGAACAATATTTTTTGTGCTTTTGGGTTGTCTAAGGTGATCTAGAGTTTGGGAATTAGGATATCAAGGTTTAAGCTTAGAGAATAAGATGTAGGGATCGGAAAGAACAAATCTGGTTGGGCAATTAAAGTGCAGAAAATCCAACTAAGGAAAAAAGAGAAAATAGTTCTAGAAATCACTCCTAGAGGCTTTAGGCGTCACACTTAGGGTTTAATTGCATCACACAATCTCAAAAACAGCATATTTGCTAGAAATAAATCTCTCAAAACTATTTTAAATTAAATTAGAAGCATTATATGACTTTATATAGACTTGGGAGATGTCCTTCACCAATTAGACTTGGCCGACTTCCTTCACCTAGAGGTATTGGGTCCATCTTGGTTCTTTTTCTGATTGCAATCTCTCTCTCTTTCTCGCTCGCTCTCTCTGTTGTGTAATGTAGGGCTGCAAACACTGAGCTTTGCAGGGCTCGGCTTGTTAACATTAATCGAGCTTAGCTCGAAGCTCAATAATGATTTTTTTTTACAATTTTTAACATTATTTAAATATGTAAATGTATTTATATATTATTTTAAAAATATATTATTTAACATATAAATCATATAATTATGCTATTATTTATACATATTTTTTATATGATTTAATATATAAAATATATTTATTTTATAATTTAAATAAAGACAAACAAGCCGAGCTTATTCGAGTTTGAGCTTAACTCGTTTACTAAATAAGCGTAAAAGTTAGGCTCGAGCTCGTTTATTTATTTAACAAATTGAGCTGAACTAAGACCTTAACGAGCCGAGGTCGAGAACAGCTCCATTCTTTTGCAGCCCTAGTGTAACGGTTGTGCCCCCTTGGCTCGTTCTCGAATAATTAAAAAAAAAAAAAAAAAAACTCTTAGCCAGCTAGGAAATACCTGCCAATATGAGACGTATTTACACACGGTGAAAGAGAGGGATTGTTAAGGAAAAAAAAAGAAAGAAAAAAAAAAAGGACCATCGTTACTTTATAAGACAAATTTTGGGATGCAATGCATTATAAGGCTTACTTGCTTGAAATTTATCTTCTGGAACGATTTCTGCTATTTACTTCCTGTTATTGGTGTGTTATCCCAACTACTTCATGTTACATATGATGATTCCTTTTGTCACCATCTTGAAGGAGTAGCCAATTCGTTTCTTCCCTTACATTTGTGTTTTTTACTCAATTTTTTCCCCTGAAATGTTTTCCATGAATATCTTATTGTATGGCTAAGGATGCTCTCTTCCAAATTTAATTATTTTCTCACTTTATGGGTGGAGGTCTTGCCCTCCCCAAACCCTGCTTTATATGATTGCCACATCACGGGGTGCAATTAATGATCCGAAGTTATAATTGCAGGTTTTGAGGTATGTAGAAGGTTTATGCTGGGTTTGCCAGTACTACTACCATGGTGTCTGCTCATGGCTATGGTCAGTTTTTGATTTATAATTCATTTTACTTGTGTATTCAGGAATACAAATATTCCTTTGTGTTTGTATATAAATATTAGTAGTAGTACATATGTCAATAATGAGTTTTTGTAAAGACATTATGGCCAAAGAAGAGGTTGTGCACCCATATTATGCAATATGTATTTTGTGGATTGGATGAGAAAACAGAGGGTTTTGGCTGTGTCTAAATGGAAGTCAACCAAAGCATGCTACAGATGTGCACTTTTATAGGATCTTATTTTTAAGATGACATTGGGGCCAGGTAGATATGAGCAGATGCTTAATCCCCATCCCACCACACGGATGATATATACACCTGTTTAATTAAGGAGGCTAATGCTTGTTACTGTTTTATGTTGTGTAGATTGCTGCCCTTCAGTGTACTTGCATTTATACTAAATGTCCTGTTGTTGCTTCAGGTTTTATCCATATCATTATGCTCCATTTGCTTCCGATCTAAATGGTCTAACTGATTTAGAAATAACATTTTTCCCGGGAGAGCCTTTTAAGCCTTTCGACCAGCTAATGGGAACCTTGCCTGCTACAAGGTCCGTATTACTTTCTCACTCTGTCTCTCTCTCTCTCTCTCTCTCTGTGCTGCTGCATTTGGTACTGTATGAACTCATCTCTTTCATGTTACAGTTCTAGTGCTCTGCCTGAAGAGTACAGGAGATTGATGACTGATCCAGCATCACCGATCCAAGAATTCTACCCTTCTGGTTGTATTACTTGAGTTTTATAGTTTTCTAGTATTTCTTTTTGAACCTTTTTTTTTTTTCCTTTTTGCTGCTCATTAATAGTTGCAATTTTCTTATTTGGATAGATTTTGAGATTGATATGAATGGCAAGCGCTTTGCATGGCAGGTATGGTGTTGTCTATTATCAGAAAATTTGTTGTTATGTTCCTATATGTTTATTACGAGTATGACCTGGACTACTATTGGTACAAGTTTTACAGATATTGTTGTTGGCTCATTCAAGCTATCTTGAATTTCTTGTGTGAATCAGGGCATTGCCAAATTGCCTTTCATCAATGAGAAGAAATTGGTCGCTGAAACAAAGAAACTGAAGGACACTCTGACGGTATGAATCATGGGATTCTTGCCTACCCTTTTTTCTTTGCATTTATTAATTTTGTTGGGGTACATTATATGGGGAGTGGAATCGAACTCGTGACCTCGTAGTTACCTTGGGTTCTGGCCACTGGGCGAACCCCAATGGTTTTGTCTGCAATTTTTATTTGTTTTTTGATCGGCAAAACAGAAATTCATTGATAAAGTGAAAGCTGAATGAATACAAAGCAGCAATAGCTGAAATTAGCAAAAAGGACGGCATTCACACAATTCAATTTGCCCCATCAGCCGAAAGCAAAGTGTTGGCAAGGAGCCAACACAACATCCCATTGTTTCATCAAAAAACCAAATCAAACACTACCAGCTACCCGAACAACCCCCTTACCCAATCACTTTTTTTCAGATTGAGATTCCTAACATTCTCAATATTGTTCATAAACTCTTGCACTGAAAAGCAGCCAGCTTCGACCTTAGATTTGACCCACATTGCAGTGTTAAGTTTGATTCTCTCGACCTGGGGTCTGACTCCATAATTAATTATTTATTTTTGGTTATTACACCAACAGAAGGTAGATATGAAAGATCACAGGTTCTGTGGTTTTCTAAATTCGTTCAGATTCTCTGGGATCCTTCCTTTCTTCAAATGGAATTAGCAGAGATAGAATCAGAACCGGAATCAGACTGATTTCTGGTTTTTTTTATCCATGGGGGACTTAGTTTTGATGTATTGGGTGTATTGGGTGTATGATGTTTCTGTATTTGTAGAACGTTCAATTAACATGCTTGTCTTAATTCACGGTTGTTACTCTGTTCTTTTCAAACTTATCATTTGTGAATACATTTTGTTTTTATGCCTGAAGAACTATTCAACTCAAGTTAGATCATAATTCTATCTAATATCAGATAATTTATTTTATTTTTGTTCCTTTTGTTATATAATCAAATATGCTAATCAATGGTTTGATACATGTAGGAGCAAGAACAATTTCGGAATAGTGTGATGCATGATTTGCTATATGTGCATTATTCTCATCCTTTGGCTGCCCAAATTATGTCATACTACCATTTTTTTTGTCAGTTACCCCCAGATCAAAGATACCCTTGGCCAATTAACACAAATCTTAGGTTGGTTGAATTTCTTTGTTCAGTTTTGATAGCTGTGTTTAATGTAGGCATGGGCTGGTTTGCAACCTTCATATGTTGTGAATGTTTTGCAGTGGAGGAATGAATGGGCATCTTTGGTTATGTGGAAGGAGTGGGTGGAGGAATGTGGTTGTGTCCCCTGTCAGGGGATTGCAAGATATTGAGTATAACCAAATTTTGTAAGTTCCCTTTTGTTGTTTGGTTATTTTCTTTTTCCTTTTCTACTTCTTATTATTTGTGCTTCTGTTTATATATATATTTATTATCATTCACATTACTTTTTTTGTGTGAAAATTTAAAGATTACTTTCCTAAATGTGTGTCCATTTTGCAGAAATACTACCTATCTGAATCCTGCACACCATAAACACATCGCCGAACCTCCCGCAGGCATACACATGCCTGGAAAGGTGTGTGATACATGACATCTGGATACTTTCAAAGTCGCTTTTAGTAATCCTTTATTTTTTAGAGTGAATGCATAAGGACTCATTTATCAACTTAAAGATTGGAACGTAGTTCAAAAAAAAAAAAAGAAAAAAAAAACTTAAGAATGGAACCTGTTCCTCCTACATATGTTGGCAGATTTCTTCTCCTGATTTATCAATGTGGGGTACCATTTGCTGCTTTTCACTTGTGGAAACAAGTGGAAGGATCTTGAAATATTTCTCTTGTGAATATTTGTAATGAGCGTGCATTGCTGGTGCCGTTAGGTGGTTCCTTTTTAAACAATATAGTGTTTCTTTGACATATGTTTACCTCTGCAGATTTTAAGTCCTTTGGACATAAAACCCTTCCCTTGGAACCTGTTCCTCCTACATATGTTGGCAGATTTCTTCTCCTGATTTATCAATGTGGGGTACCATCTGCTACTTTTCACTCGTGGAAACAAGTGGAAGGATCTTGAAATATTTCTCTTGTGAATATTTGTAATGAGCGTGCATTGCTGGTGCCGTTAGGTGGTTCCTTTTTAAACAATATAGTGTTTCTTTGACATATGTTTACCTCTGCAGATTTTAAGTCCTTTGGACATAAAACCCTTCCCTTTGTTATGGCATGAAGATAATGGTGGCCGGCGCCAGCAAAACAGAGATAGGTAAGAATGCATTTTGATTATTTTGGGATTGTGAATCTGCTCAATCTTTGCAGTATTTTATATTTTTTAATTTTTTTTGCATTTTATGTTAGGGAACCCATCTGGAGCCCAAAATGTGACTACTCTTGTAGTAATTTGAACTGGCATGGCCAAAAACTGATGTTTCATTGGGATAAAAAAGAAGTTAAATACATTTTTCATTCTCACATGGGTGGATCCTACGATGCGGGGAGGGGTTTTAAGAACCGTTGATTTTGTGATTATAGCATTCTCCAAATATTTTGAAAAAAGAGTTAGTTCATGGCATTTTAATGAATTCGAAAGAATTTGAATTGGGAAGTCGTATTCTATGTGGAAGTTTGTATGTTTCTATTTGTGTCAAAGTTCCTAGATATTTAACTGCCCAAGCTGTCTGACTGCTTTTAAACTAGTTTTTTTAAGTCCTTTCTACGGTTGCAATCATGTTAAGACATTTAGTGTTTGTGTCATGTTAAGATGTGGATAGAAGAGATTTGCCAGCCAAACTGATCTATTTAAGAACCAGGCAAATATTCTAGAGACAAGATGGTCCAGGATTTACTTGGCGTTATCTATACTAGCGGTTGGGCACACACATGTGTGTGCAAATTAAATAAAGAGGAATAAAAGAAAATAATAATGAAATTAATATTATAATGTGTACTTAGCTTAAGTGGTATGAGTCTTTATACTTAAACCCATGGTCATGGGTTCAAGCCTTGTCCATCTCTTTGTTCAACTTTTTTTTAAAAAAATAAAAAAGAAGACTGCCACATGGCATGAGGAGAGTAAAGCAAGCTTCAGGACACCATATTATGTGTTCACTTTATAATAGTATAGATTTTCATTTGCAAAACCATCCCAACTTAAAGGCTTAAATGGCCTGGTCACATTTCTGTTGTAAAGGGGTGGACATTAACGGCTAGTGAATCAGACAGACCAGTATTGCCTGCTAACTGGGATACGGCCTGTTTAACAATTAGGTTAATTATTTCAACACTGTATTGACTCAAACATGATTAGATCCAACTGGAACTCTTAATCAGATCAAGTCGAGATTTTTCACCCCTTGTCTTTATTACTTCCACTCGTATTGAAGCACACTTTCTTCACTCCCAATTTGCATTCTATCAGAAGTCCATAATTCATGATTCACCTTATGCATTGACACCGACATTAGTAATTTTGATTTCAACCGTTTTTATGATCAGAAATTGTTGATATTATGCTTTTTTGCCACTAATGACAACAAATCTTGACATACTTGTGATTTGCTTTTGATGGCTTTCTATTCAGGCCACCCATACTGGGGTCAATATCTGGTCCTCGGTTGGGAGAAGCAGCGCATCGTTTGCTTAAGAACACTCTGAATCTGAAACCCAATCACAACAATTATTCTGAATCATTTCAACAAACTCCATATAGGAATTCCCAAAGCAACCATGTAATAATTAATAGACCAAGAGCAGCTGGACCCTCCGGGTATGGAAGGGGATTCATTGACAATTCAAGTCCCTACTATGGAAATTATAATAATCCCCGAGCCATAACAGGTCCTCCTAGATCTGCGCCTTCTCAGTATGAATTCCAAGGCAACAGACAGAATATCAAGGCACAAGATAGATACTCAAGGGCTGGGATGTCTGCTTTGACAATTGATGAAGTCAGAACCAGGCCACAAGCAATGATGTCTCTGATGACGCCAAATTCAGGACAATTGCAAAATAATGGGAACCAGTTTGTGCAAAACATGGCTTCACTTCCATCACCACCTCCCAAGTGGATCAATAGACCGCCTAGTAGTTCTGGAATGTACTATGACCAACAACAGAAGTCAACAGCTTCAACATATGAAGCTCAAGTGAAGAAAGTTTATCAAGTGAAGGGTCTGGCGCCCCCAGAATCTGTCTGATTGAAGTGGTGTGATAGTATCATGTTTATTTTCAGTTCATGGGTACCCTCGATGTAATCTCTTCCATTTGAGCAAGTTTATCGAAATCTCAGGTATCCTGCACTCTTTATGCCTAATTCAAGAATTTGACATCGACAGATCCAATGAAGACGTATCATCTTCTAGTGCAACAAAAAAAGAACTGCCTGAGCAAATCAACAATTGTATACAAGAGCAGGAGTGTCGGTTTGAAGATCAAATTTTCCAAAATGTTGTTCACCCAAATTTTTTTTTCCTTTCCAAGATGTGACATGGATTAAGTAGTGTTCCCATAGAATCAGGAGGAAAAAGTGGGAAATTGCACAAGTTGTACTGTTGTACCATATCTGACAATATAACACCCCAGCCTCTTCTAACCTTCCCTTATTTCCTATGTTGTTGAAGAGGAATGTAAAGAAATGTACACTCTGGGCTTTAGATTTATTCTGTTATAATTTTAATGGCAGGTTCTTGTCAGGAAAATTGAGGAGTAATGTTAGACACATTTTCAATTTATGGGAAAGAATTTGATCGATACAATTTGTTAATTTTTGCGTTTGGACTGTTTGTACTGTGGGAGGGAGTTCTGCTCTCTTTGCTTGTTCAGAAGGAAGGTCTTGAATTTGCAATTGAACTGTAAAAACGGCAAAAGCTGACCTGTTTTTGGTCAGTTACAATCTCCTTAATATGTTCCATGACCACAACAGTACTTGAAATGTTTCCAAATTCCTCTCAGTACTTACTTTCAGTGGTGTTTCATAGGATATGTTACTTTCTAATTTCAGATTTAATCCCGGATGTTTAACTAGATAATTAGGGCTAAATGAACTCAGTTGAGCCAACCAGCAAGTTATTCGAGTTTGATTTGAAACGAAACGAGTTTAAAATTTGTCCAATTTTGATTTGTTTACCTTTTGAATTGATCTTAAACCAGGGGCAACTGTAGTGCTAGGCAAGCTATGTAGCTGCCCAAGAAATGTTCCATATTGAGTAAAGCCCCCAAACTTTAGTAGCAGGAAATTCCTATGGGCCCTCTCTGCCCTGCCTCCGCTCCCACATCTGCCCCTCGCTCCCGCTTTGTGCAACTATACTTTCAATTAAAGAAGGTTTCATATTGAGGAAGACCCATACAAGCATGAACATTTTTTCACAATAGCCAATTTGTTGGTCGTGTTGTGGATCTAATAGGAGTACGAAAACGTATACGAAGTCATTGTAGTATGCATATTACATATATACTCTATTCTTTTTATTTTCCTATGCCGTAGTCCCCTTCAACTACGTTCCACCATTTTACTTTTATACTTTTATGTAGCCAGAAGAACAATTTTTGTTATTTATTTTCAGTTAGTTGATTTTATGACTTTAATTCTTGTTCTCATGGACATGATAAGTTTAAATTTATAGGTTGCTTTTCTTACTGATTTAGTTTTTTAGCTTTCTTTTCTAGTTTTCACCCAAAATTTTCACCCAAGGCCTCAAATTGGCTAGGGTCGTCCCTATTTCAAATGAACTTTTAACGAATCCAATACATGTCAAATTAGAATAGCTTGATTTTTAGGCATATGAATTTATTGAGTCAAGCTCAGAAAATTAATGACCTTGAAATTGTGTTGAAATATGACTAGTTTACATAACAAGCTAATTTCCAACAAGTTTTTAAGAAGTCGAATACGACCCAAGTTCTAGCAGCTTAGTTCGTTTTACAAATACTGATAAGATAATATGTATATGCAGAATATGAATCATTCCTTTATTTTTGTTGCTCAATACTTTCTAGTAACTATTGTATAATGTACCGAGGTGGTCCAAAAATAGGAATGATATGGACAAATCACGAAAGACAATTGATTAGGCACACCACCATATAATGTTCTGGAGCCGTGTGATAATTTATGTTAATGCATGATCAAGCTTATTTATTTATTAGATAACTTGTAGATCATTGCTGTGCTTTTTCTTTGCCTGTATGAAAGAAAAATCTTCTTGTCTTCTTGCTTGATGTTCTAATGAGAGCATATTTTAGTTTTGTGTGTATGGTTGTGATGACATTCAAGCTGAATGTTTGCATGTAAATGATGCAAATCAAGGGCATGGATTTTCATAGTTCAAACCCTGCTTGCATTTTTTCTTCTTCTGTCAATAATGTCAATTGAAATGCTCCACTACTAGTAGAGAATGAAGTTTTGAAAGCTTGCCATATAAACTGGTAGAGGCTATTCAGGGACTCATTTCGACCAAAATGGAATGTTGTGTTTACATTTAACACTTGTAAGTTGACAAAGGTGTCAAGCTACTTGACTTCAGCTCATTTCATGCTAAAAACTTTCTACATTGACGAAGAACAAGGGTGAAATACGCAGAAGAAATGAAGTATATGTTTCAATCTATCATCACTATCTATTGGTATAGACTTGCACTTGGATGGGTCATTGCTACAAAAGTTTACTTTGTTACGAGGCAAATAGTCCTGCTGATACTTGATTCGTGTTTTTTAAATTCAGTCTACATTTACGGTTGCAACCCAACCAAGTTCAAACAATCTCAGGTGCAGAGTAAATGCAGCAGAGATGAGTACTCCAAAGACCAGATGAAATTATACAGAGAAATTCGCAGGATTCTGAAAATCCATTTACATCTAAGAATGCAATTGAATAGCTTAAAGACATCAGCTTTTTTTGTGGGTACTTCTCAGAAACCCAAAAAGAAGAAGAAGAAAAGAATAGTTGTAGATTAAATATATAAAACCATTACTAAATAAACAGGAAGCTATTGAATGCCTCGTGGATACAAGAGAACAGTGGATATGAATAATATAAAAAAATAAAGACTCCGGTTTGTGTACAGATCACTGGTAACATCAAAGATTACAATGACAAGGGAAGATCATTCTTCCAGTCATACCTACATGCCGATATCAACATTAGTAGGGTCATCTTTTGGTCTTCTAGGGCAGAAAGAACAAATTTTTTTTGTTATTTTAAGGTGCAGGTTAAGGGCACAATACAATCATGAGAAGAACTATGATGATATATAATGCTTTCTTCAATTGAATCAACTTCTCCGAGTCTATAGCTACTAGCTCAAAAAGATCAGCTGTGTAATAAGAGGTAGGATTTGTCCACGAGGTTATCATAATGCCCTCCAAAGTCAGTCTCTTGCTGGCCTCTTACTAATTGGCCCCATTAATGTATGTCAAATAGTGGGATACCTTTGAAGGGCTTATGGGTCGACTTAGACTCAAAATATCTTATACTTCAACCCATCTAATGAAACATTCCTCTAAGGCAAGCCTAAAATACATTTCTAGGCCATAGCTAGCTGCATTAGACTTTCTCTAGACAAAAGAAAATTTCTAAACAAGCAAAAGATAGAGACTCAAAGCATATCACCAATGGTTTATAGCCAAATTGGCTAAAGCCAAAACCATTATTTGACAAGCTACAAGGCCATTTTCCAATGGTGCCAAAGCGTTTTTTATTTTTAATTTTGTAACACAATTACCATTCTCTATTTTCAACTGTCAAATGATCTCACTATAATCACAGTTGTTGATCACCATATAATGCTGATGTGGTAGATTTGGCTTTGTCAAACCTTATGCCGCCAAATTTGGCACAAAATTTAACAAAACCATAACTTGACTAAGAATTAAACAGATCGTTAAAGCCTAACTTTTGGGAACTCTAGCCAAAAATGGAATTTGGCTTATTATTGGAAAGGTTTGGCAAGACACTCCGGAATTTTAAGCTACTCAAACAAAATATGCCATTCTTTTATCTCACAAACCAGTAATACATTTTCAATGTGCATAAACAAAATGTCACAAAACACAAAAAACTACAAAAGAAAAAGAAAAGAAAAGAAAAAGAAAAACCCTATACCCATTTCATATATAACAAGTAGCCCTCAATTATTGAAGAAAATAACCAGATAAGAACAACACAAAGCCTAAGAACAAGCCACCATATATGAGCACAGCCTTTTGGCCAGCGGTGAGAGCATTACCACCCAATCCAAACTGCTGGTTCTGAGCAAACCCAGAAATCTCCACACTCTTGCTCTCGAAGAAACTCTGCGCCGCCCCGCACGTCGGGCACCGCCAGTCCTCCGGCAACTTGTTGAACGGCAGCCCCGGTGGCACCGGATACGATGGGTCTCCGGCAGCCTCATCGTACCGGTACCCGCAGGACCTGCACTCGTATATGCCAGTGTTTAGTACTGCAAACTTTTCTTCTAGCCGCCTTTTGTCGAACACTTCGGTCTCTGGTGGTGGAGGCTCAGGATCAGAGGTGGGTGTTGGTGAATTGGGGAGTTCTGAAATGGGTTTGTCTTCTTTTGAGACATTAATGGACTTTGAAGTGAATTTGAGGGTTGGTTGGTGTTTGTTGAGAAGAGGTGGGAAAGTGAGGTGGGAGGGTTTTGGTTTTGGAGATGATGGTTGAGTGAGAGAGGTTGAGAGGTGGAAACTGAAGGTGGGTCTAGTTGTTGCAGAAGCCATTAGTAGAGTCTCACACTCTCTCTCCAAATATGGTGGTGAGTTATTGGTACGTTGTGTTGGTGGTATGAGTGTGAGTGTGGGTGGAGGAGAAATCAAAGGCATCCATGGAAGAGCATATGCTCTTTTTGGAAGTAGACTCTGGATAAGGTGGGGAAGTGAGTTGAAAGATCCAAGGCCCTTGATGAGTGATCCTAGGGGCTGTGTGTGGTCAAGCACATATATGGATCAACAATGTTACTAACTCAAAAATTTTAGTTAGAAAAATATTTCGAATAATTATTATGTGATTGATATTATACAATAATTAAATTTAAATTACATATCATAATTCAGCATAAATTTTTCCACATTTTTTTTTTAAATACTGGATTTTCTGTCTTTTCTATATATGAATTTTAAATGCAGTATTACTTGTGTGCAATTCCTTTCTATTGCCATCGGGCTTTTTTGACATTTTACCACTTTTTCTATTTCAAATTTGATCAGAGGTCATTTTTGTCATTGGTGAAATTTGATAAAATTAAAAATAGAATGTTAAATTTTTTAAGTTGATAAATTATTTGATAAAAATTTGAGTGTTTAATTAAAATAAATTATTTTATATATGTAAAATAAAATTTTAAATTTATTTATTTATTTTAATTTTTTGTGATGGTGGTGAAGCTAGTAATGATGGAGGTGGTTATAGTGTCAATGATGATGATGTTGGAGATGGAGGACAGGGTTGGGATGATGAAGTGATAGGGGTGTAGTGATTGTGGTGGTCATGGTAGAGGTAGTGATGGTGGGAGAGGTGAAGGGTTGTGGTAGTTGTGTGTCACGACCCAAACTCGTCTTTATAGGTTTAGCATCGTAATTGGCTAGTAATTCTTGGATTACTAAAGACCTTTTAACCGAATAACATATAGTTAGGGGCTGCGGAAGTAATTATACAAAATAATAGTAGCCCAATGAGCTGTGAAGACATACATGGGACAAATAACGTAAAACCTTTATAAGCTTGCGAGTGACGTCAAAAGATACAGTATATACACATCACTCATAGAACAAATTACCAGAAATCTTGCCCAAAAATTCAAAAGAAACAAACTTTAGTACATTTACAAAACAACCACTAAACTCGACTTAATTCGGAACCTCCTCGGGAGGCACAAAGGTTGGCTGACAAAAACTTCAGGCGGTAACTCAAGCCTGGTCACGCGCCTGCTCACCTACATACATAATAGATAAATAGTGAGTGGGGGCCCAGTAGAGTAAATGGGTAGATGAATGATGTCCCATAAGGAAACAGAATCTTATATATAGTCAAATGCCAAGGCAGAAACAAATTCATATTCGTAGTTGTATTCATATTTGAAGTTTGTATGTTGCATATCATAGTATGTGGCACATCCATTAGCGTCAACAAATCCGATGACCCAAATCTGGGACTACCATAAACTTATTCTGATGACCCATAAAGGGACGAAATTTATTTATTTATTTTAATTTTTTGTGATGGTGGTGAAGCTAGTAATGATGGAGGTGGTTATAGTGTCAATGATGATGATGTTGGAGATGGAGGACAAAGTGATAATGGCAGCAATAGGGGTGTAGTGATTGTGGTGGTCTTGGTAGAGGTAGTGATGGTGGGAGAGGTGAAGGGTTGTCTCTATAGGTTTAGCATTGTAATCGGCTAGTAATTCTTGGATTACCAAAGACGTTTTAACCGAATAACATATAGTTAGGGGCTGCAGAAGCAATTATACAAAATAATAGTTGCCCAATGAGCTGTGAAGACATACATGGGACAGATAACGTAAAACCTTTATAAGCTTGCGAGTGACGTCAAAAGATACAGTATATACACATCACTCCTAGAACAAATTACCAGAAATCTTGCCCAAAAATTCATAAGAAACAAACTTTAGTGCATTTACAAAACAACCACTAAACTCGACTTAATTCAGAACCTCCTCGGGAGGCACAAAGGTTGGCTGACAAAAACTTCAGGCACTAACTCAAGCCTGGTCACGCGCCTGCTCACCTACATACATAATAGATAAATAGTGAGTGGGGGCCCAGTAGAGTAAATGGGTAGATGAATGATGTCCCATAAGGAAACAGAATCTTATATATAGTCAAATGCCAAGACAGAAACAAATTCATATTCGTAGTTGTATTCATATTTGAAGTTTGTATGTTGCATATCATAGTATGTGGCACATCCATTAGCGTCAACAAATCCGATGACCCAAATCTGGGACTACCATAAACTTATTCTGATGACCCATAAAGGGACGGCCATAAGGCATTCCGATGACCCATAAAAGGGACTACCATAAACTTATTCCGATGACACATAAAGGGACTACCTTAAACTTATTTCGATGACCCATAAAAGGACAGCCATAAGGCATTCCGATGACCCATAAAGTGACACATATCATAAGATGCTAAGGATGCCACGAATACATTTCAGAAATTTGGACAATCATTCATTTATCCATAAAAAACATCGTGTTTCAAAAAACTAATCATTTCATATCATCAGAAAATAATTAAAGTTAAATATAACTTTACAGAGTTATTACTCACAGATAACAGGTGGCTCCAAATAGTCAGGCAAAGTGGGCAATTCATTTAACTTGAGGCGCGTGACCTACATAACACGGCAGATTCATACATTGAAACACACGCTCGGATTGTACATAACTTATTTCATTTGTTCTTAGTGCATTTCTAGCCTTTAACCTCATTATGGAGTTTTAATCTTGGCCTCAGAATGCCTATGATGGAACGAGGACGCAAAAATATACTTGAAAACATTTTTCAAAACTTGTCGAAAATAGGGTCCACGCTCAAGCGTGGCTTTCCTCGCTTACGCGGACATGCAAAATGTGAAGGTCCGCTTGAGCACAATTTTCTTCGCTCGAGCGATCTGCAAACTTTTGGCGAAAGTACTGGTTGCTTAATTTTCACGCTCGATGGACGCTCGATTCCCACTCAAGCGTGAGACTCAGACCTTCGCTCGAGCGTGACTTTTGTCGCTCGAGCGATTTGCAAAACATATGAACTTTTGGGTTTATGCATTTCACGCTCGAGCGGGCTTCAGGTCGCTCAAGCAGAAGTGTACGCACTCAGAGTGGTCGCTCGAGCGTGAACTCCTATGCTCGAGCGTAGATGCAAATTCTGGAATTTCCAAATTTGATCTCCAAGCTTCAAATTCGAACTAAACACTTCAAAGCTCAACATTTTGGGCCAAAAACTTGAGGAGTCACATGTGAACTTGGAAAACATTGAGAATTAAAGATCATTTCATGAAATCAAGGCCCACAAGCTTGACAATTGAGCAAATTCAAACTGGAATTGTGAAACATGACATGAATTTGACATGCATGGAGTGATTGAGTTTCAAATTTCCAAATCATGAGTAAATAAGATGTTTGGGTCAAAAACATGTTGAGCTCCTTGAACAAAACCCAAGTATAGACATGCATGTGGAGATTCTTGAAAATTAACTTACCAAATTATGAAAATTATGCATGCATGCATGATACACTCTCAAGGCCAACTATCTAAGCTTAGTTCTTGCTTCCCAATAGGATTTTCTTTGAATTCATGAGTTGGTTAACTTAATTATACTATCAAAAGCTTGAGTTCTCACCTAAACTTCTCAATTGAGCTTCAAGTAGACCAATTATTGAGTGATCAAGCTAATCCTTCTTAGTTCTCTTCAATTTTCTAGCAAGTCCCTTTTGGTTGAACTCAAGTTTACCTCCCTCTTACTCTTTCTCACGTTGGTGTGTGTGAGTGAGCTCAAAATGTGATGAAATGAAGAAAAAGCAAGAGTGAAGGCACATAAAAATCCTTATATAGGCTTACATAATGATAAGCAACTAAGGCTAAGTAAGTGGGCATCAAATTAATCTATTTTTAATTGTTCCGAATCGAATTTTCATTAAACATACCATAAAATTCTAAAAATTCCAACTAGCACATAAGTCAAGTCAATTTTTGATTCGGATACCGATAAGGCCTTCAATTTATAAACCGAAACGAAAACATGAACAGATCTTTCTACGTTACCAGATATACACAAACATATAATGCAATGTATGATGCAAAAATTCACTCTAATTTCTTTTTAAGTATAATAAAGCATGGATTAACGTTAACTATGGGTTGGGGTTGTTACATTGTGGTAATAGTGGTAATAGTGACAGTAGTGGTGGTAATCGTGGTGGTGGTGGGGTGATGGTAGAAATAATAATGATACTTATGTGTAAGCATAATCGGCTCCCGGGACAAGTAAGCATGATGACCTTATAATTTTCACATTCTCATCATCTCATCATCCCACGAGATTGTTAAAGATTCAGTCAAATAGTCATTTTATCGAAACCCATTAAGATCCACCATATAGTCTCTATGGATCTTTTATCATTTTCTCGCATAGGCTAATTGATCAAATAGACAACAATCAAAACTCGGAGCCACCACTTGGTTTTAAAGACCAAGAACCATAAAATGACTCCATAAAAACAACTGATTAATCATTACCGGAGGAACTAGATCCAGGGACTTGGGTATGAGGTTAGAATGTTTAACATACCCATCTCACCTGACACAAGGTCGGTCGGCCTATACTCAGGTAGCAATAAATAAAGTATGAGAGAGTCAGAAGTAGGGGACAGATAGAAGGGTAAAAAATAAGAATTACATAGAATGTGATAGATAAAAATAGGGAACATGCATAAGGGAATAAATAAAATAAACATCATGAATGGCTAACCTATATACAACTAAGACAACAGTGGCATGATCGAATATGGATTATATACTCAACATGATTGAAAATAAAGAGAAAAAAGAAAAGAAAAGAAGAGCTAATCTATATGTAATCAAGCCAATGGTGACTTAATCACATATGGGTCATAAGCCCAACATGACTAAAGAAATTAAGCAAGAAAATGAAAGACAATAATGAAAAAGAGAGAATACATTTTGAAGAGCATAACTACAATAGGGAATGTCTTACTATTCTCAGGTTTTCTCCTTACTTAGAAAAACTCTCGACTTGCCTCCAGATGAACTCACCAAAGACTAGACTCGAAAACTTTGAACTAGGGTAAGTCAATGCACAATGGTGCTAGACAACCAATATTTCACTAAAACTATAATAATCTTTTGGGTAAATTACCTTC